TAGTATCAGGATTAGGGTGTGGCTTACCACACCCATAGGTTATAAATCTCCAACGCGCGGTCCGAGAATTCATTCCCTGAAGAAGTCCCCAGGTTGAGGACGAAACGTCGGGAAAACTTGCTAAGAAGTACAGATGATGGGTGAGAAACCTTCCTTTGCTTTGACTAATCCCTGTACGACTGAGGGCTTACACAAACATGTCTCTTGAATCTGGAACATTCCCAATGGCCTTGAAAACGGCGGTCATCAGGCCCCTCCTAAAAAAGAGGAGTCTGGAAGCCCTGGCACTCAAAAATTATCGGCCCATTTCAAATCTGCCTTTCATGGGAAAAATTCTAGAAAAAGTTGCCTATAAACAACTTACAGAATTTTTAATAATCAATAACGCTTATGATATGTTCCAGTCAGGGTTTAGACCCCACCACAGCACTGAGACCGCGCTAATAAAGGTAACAAATGACATCAAACTAAACACTGACGCAGGAAAAGTCTCAGTCCTTTTTCTGTTAGATTTAAGTGCTGCTTTTGACACTATTGATCATGGCATCCTCATTCAGAGACTTGAGGACTGGGTTGGTGTTGCTGGCACCGCCCTAAGCTGGTTTAGGTCCTATTTACAAGACAGAAAGTTTTTTGTGGAGATCGAAAACTGTACCTCAGACCACTTGGCCCTGACCTGCGGAGTGCCACAGGGGTCAATCTTGGGTCCTCTTCTGTTTAATATTTACATGTTGCCTCTAGGTCAGTTGATTCACAGTAATAATGTCTCTTATCACAATTACGCTGACGATACTCAGGTCTATGTGTCCCTGACAGCAGGAGAGCATGAACCAGTGGACTCGCTCCTTCACTGTGTCCAGCAAATCGGTGATTGGATGCAAAATAACTTTCTCCAACTAAACACCGACAAAACTGAAATAATTGTTTTCGGACCCCAGAAACAAAGAGAGAGCGTTATTTGTCACCTCCAGGCTCTCTCTCTACAACCCTCAAATCAGGTCAGAAATCTAGGAGTGATAATGGACTCAGACTTAAATTTCAAAAGCCACATAAAATCTGTAACATCAGCAGCTCATTACCACCTAAAAAACATTGCTAAAATTAAAAACATAGTGTCTAAGGCAGACTTGGAGACTCTTATACACGCTTTTGTCTCCAGTCGGTTAGACTATTGCAATGGCCTGCTCACAGGTCTGTCCCAAACAGGCTGTAAAACAGCTGCAGTACATTCAACATGCAGCAGCTCGAGTCCTGACCAGAACTAGGAAGTACGACCACATTAGTCCAGTTCTCAGGTCTCTGCACTGGCTTCCTGTTCCTCAGAGAATAGACTTCAAAGCAGCTTTACTTGTGTACAAGTCTCTCCATGGTCTCGCGCCAAGGTACATCCATGACATGTTTGTGCCATATGAACCGACCCGGACTCTGAGGAGCACAGGGACTGGACTCCTGTTAGTGCCCAGAGTCGGTACTAGACATGGGCAAACTGCATTTCAGATTCATGCGGCTAGAGTCTGGAACCGTCTTCCTGAGAATGTGAGACAGGCGTCTACTCTGGCATCTTTTAAATCTAGGCTCAAAACAATTCTGTTTAGCTGCGCATATACAACTGAATGATTTTATCTTTTCATCTTTGTTTTTATCTTTAATCTTTTTAATGCACTGTGACTATTTATGATTTTAGTCCCATCTGTGATTTTAATGTTTAAAGGTTTTTAATTTTTGTGATTTTATTTTTAATGTTTTTAATATATCTTGTGCTCTTAATGTGTTTGATTTATGCATGATGTGATAGGGGATGTGAAGCGCTTTGCGTTGCCTTGTGTAGGAAAGGCGCTCTACAAATAAACGTTGATTGATTGATTGATTGATATTGCCTGGAGGAAACTGGAGCAGACACTGGGCTCTGTCCCAACCGGGATTCAAACCTGGGCCCTCATTGCTGAGAAGAGTGCTAAAACAGGTCTAAAGCAGGACTACAGCAGGTCTAAAGCAGGTCTAAAGCAGGTCTAAAGCAGGTCTAAAGCAGGTCTAAAGCAGGTCTAAAGCAGGTCTAAAGCAGGACTAAAGCAGGTCTAAAGCAGTTCTAAAGCAGGTCTAAAGCAGGTCTAAAGCAGGTATAAAGCAGGTCTAAGATACAATACTAGACACAGGCTTCTCTTGCCACTGTTTCCAGATAAAAACTACCTTTTTGAGTTCGTTGAATGCTTTCGTGGCTGTGTCTTCGTCTCGTGATCCTGGAGCTGTTCTCTTTAAGATGTTCTGAAAAAGACGGTTCAGTATTTACCGTGTTTTTAGGATTAAAAGTCACAGTTTCGGTCACAGTTCGGCCGGAGGTGAGATTTAGACTCTGGAGAAATGTATGTGTGAAATGATTAAATGTTATATTATATTTACAGTAGAATACCAATTGATAGCCCGGGTTATTAAGTTAGCGAATAAGCTAAAAGAGCCCAGAGAGTTCAGACACATGAGTTTGTTCACACTAAAGAATGTATCCACTCATTCTCTTTGATCTGTCTGTGTATAACCTATACCAGTCATTTTAGTTATACCCTTTTAAAGTCTAGATTCCATAATTAACACAACTACATCTCACAGATAATTCACAGTGAAATGTCTATTTTTAGTGTTGGATTTCATCAAATACCCCAAAAATGCCACTTATGTATGTGTTTTCCCTACTTTAATATGCATTTTCAACTGTTGCGACTCTAAAAAATACGGTAGACGTTTTCATTTGATAAACATGAAGTGTACCTCAACCAGCATTTTGAGTCGTGTGATCCTCTGGAAGGGCAGGATGAGGAAGGAGGTGAGGGGCAGTCGTTGGCAGACAGGGGCCTCCTCCAGTCGGGACAGGATACTGGGGAAGCGGGGGTTCTCCAGCCTGTGGGAAAACAACGAGCAGATTGACTGGGATGGGTTTTGGACTGGAGTGTCAGAAGAGTTCCAGTGTTGCATCATGGGAGCGCAGAAAGGCTGGGGATTACTGAGGGAAAGGCCCAGCAGGCTCAGTCATGTCCACAGTCACGCCTGAGCTGGAACCAGGAGATAGAACCAGGAGATAGAACCAGGAGATAGAACCAGGAATGGACAGATACTGGGGTCAACAATGTGGATTAACTTTGTGGTACATTACATGATCCTGTTTCTGTTGTAGCGCTGCAGACAGAAGCGACACACACCGTTTAATCATCCAGAGAAAGAGAAAACATGAGTGTGTGTGCTTTAGTTTTATCTGTAGTGTCGTACATCAGTTTGCTCCAGTGTTAAAGGTGATGTCTGCAACGTTTGTTTTTCATTTGGGAAAGAACGTTTATCACCACATGGCCCTGTATCAGCTCAATTAGGTAAGTATATAGCTATCTATGTATTTGTGTATGTGTGTATGTATGTGTGTACAGTATGTATGTGTGTGGTTTCAGACTCACAGAAGCCGCTGGTAGGTCTGCTCCTGGTAGGCCTGGTTGGTCACGTAGGGCAGGTAGACCCTCCTCAGCGCAGGGCAGTGGTTTAGGACGATATCGCACACATCAAAACGCAGGATGTCCTCCTCCAGGCGCTGCTCCAGGTCCTGCAGGAACCTGAGACACCAACGCAGGAGTGAGGGAGTGAAGGGCGGCGGGTGAAGAAGAGTGCGAGCGTGCATCACCTCTCACTGACATCTTTGACCTCGGGGAGTTTGGAGAACAGCCACTGCTTGTCCTGCGCCCCCAGACACTCAGCCAGGTCCTGGGACAGCATGAAGTGGTCCACGGCGATGGTGAGGCTGCGGATGTACGAGCCCTCAGAGGACACCAGCTCAAACTTGGCCTAACAACCAAACACAGTGTTGGATTATTGGATTAGCAGTGGTCCCCAACCTCTTTATCCAGTTAAAAAGCATGGACACGCTGACGACCCAATGGTTCTTCTAACCCCCCTAACCCTAACCCTCTGGGTTAGAAGTAGTAATTAAGAGTTTAGTATTAGTTTAGTTTCTGTATTGCTGCTTTTCTAAACCGCTGCAGAGACCTGAGGAGATTAAAACAGTGCAGGGGGTCTGCTTTAGACTTTAGACTTTAGTCATTTCCAGGACAGAAACAGGAACAGGAACTTTTTCTCTCTAAGGTAATGATAAATGAAGGGTATTAGGAAATCATTAATCCACAGGTTTGATCCCATTCCACTCGTGGGGCGTGTTGTGTTTATGTTAAACAAATGCAAAACAGAGGCTGATGTTTTTCAAAATGTTTTTTTGGTTTTCAGTTTCCACTCAGAATGTATCTAAATGTGAATAATCCCAGCATCTTTTCCCTTTGAGGCCAATCACCTCTTGCAGTTTTCTCTCCTCGTTGCTGAAGTTGTCGAGCTGTCCACTGGAGCGCACATCAGGGATGTCCTGCCACAGAGCGAAGGCCGAACCCCGCGATGAGCGGAAGGAGCTGGAGGGCGACAGGTTGGACGGAGACGGCGTCCCGTCCGAGCTCTCCTCCTCGGTGCCGGGCTCCTTCCCCTGCTGCCTCTGGATCTCTCTGTTTATGGCCACGTCACTGTACTCCTGGTACAGGATGGCTTTGGCACAGGAGGACACACTCAGTACAGTCGCTCTGGGTCTAACCTGAGGATGGGCACTTACAGCTGGGCAGGAAGCGAGACAGACGATTGGAGCAGCTGAGGGCGGGGAGTGCACTCACGTCTTCTTCTATGGATTTCTTCCTCATTCTGAAACAGAAGACAACAATTAAACTCAATGTTTGATGGTTCTGATGTCCTTCTACAAGTTTACCCGAGTTTGGTACTCCATCGCTGCAGCCCATTCTCACAAATGGACTGAGGTGCAGTTAATCCCACAGGACTGTGGGGGGCGCTGTCACTGGAGCATCCTGAGCTGCGCTGACGACAACTCAACTTTACTGGAGAGAAATAATAGAAAAGTAAATTATACTTAAAATTCTCCAACTGAGAGCTTTATGAAGGTGACACTTCAGAATCTTATCTTGATCTGCAGATTAGAGTTGAACTGTTTGCTCTGCAGTATTATGATCTTACAGTCTATTTATTATACATTAAACAGTTTATATATATATTCCATATAAACTGTATCTCACAGTCTATATGCATGAAACAATTTATACATTCCATGTAAACCGTACCCGTACAGTCTATACACATCAAACAGTTTATATATATTCCATATAAACCGTACCCGTACAGTCGGTGCTGGGGCTGCAGCCGGAGCTCTGTCTGTCTCTGGATGAGACTCGGGCGGACAGAGACTTTCCCAGCTTCAGGGTGAAGGAGTTCTTCCTCTGGGACAGCTGCAGTCGTGAGATGAGTTCTGAGGCTGAGAAGCGGCGGCGCTCCTCTCCTCTGCGAGACAAAGCGCTGCCACAGGAGGCGATAGAGAGCTCCACACCGTTCTCCTCGGGCAGCCCTGGGATGGGGTCCTCTGTGATGTGCAGGGGCTCCTCTGGCAGGTGGAAGATGTCGTCGGGACTGAAGCTGGGCAGCTCCGTGCCACTGTCACAGGACAAGGGACTGAGGGTCTCCAGAGACGACAGACTCAGGTCCTCCTCCAGGAACGAGGCCAGGGGCCCCGGGAACAGGAAGTCTGGGTCCAAGAGGGGACTCGCACACTCATCTGTGGGGCTCTCAGGGGAATACACCTGCATCTTCCTCCCTATAACACATTCAGATTTCTTTCATGAGGAGAAAGGTTTTTGTTTATAACAGCAGTTCTTTGAGTTCTTCTTACAGCTTACTTTTACCTAGTCTATGCACTGTGTGTTATTTAGGTTTTTTATGACAAATATGTTACAGACTGGGTTCAAAACACAACATAGTATTAGTGTAGTCAGTCGCAAACACAATCCTTCTGTGAAAAAGAGAAAACTAATATATTTATTTCATTGATAAACTTACGCATGGACTTCTCCTTGAGTGAGCCCTGCGACGTCCTCCTCACTGGGAGACAGGGCTCGGGGGTCTCCGGGGACGAGGGGGGGTCCCAGTAGAGAGAGGTCAGGGGTAAAGAGAGCGGGAGGCTGAGGGCGGCGTGGAGAGGTCGGCACACGGTGGTGACGGAGTGTGGCCTGTCTGAGAGCTCCAGGTCTGGGACGGGGTCTGGAACAGGGTCTGGTGGCTGGTCCTCCTCACACAGAGGCTCAGGGTGTTTGTGTGTGTGACATAAGAGGTCAGAAACACAGGGGAACTCCTCAGAGTCGGAGTCCGAGTCAGATGGACCGGTCTGATCCGGGCTCGACCTGTGGAGTCCGTTGCGTCGCTCTTTCAGGCCGTTCCTACAGAGTTTGAGGCCGTTCCCAGAGAGTTTGTGGGCGTTCCCAGAGAATTTGTGGGCGTTCCCAGAGAATTTGTGGGCGTTCCCAGAGAGTTTGTGGGCGTTCCCAGAGAGTTTGTGGGCGTTCCCAGAGAATTTGTGGGCGTTCCCAGATAATTTGTGGGCGTTCCCAGAGAATTTGTGGGCGTTCCCAGAGAGTTTGTGGGCGTTCCCAGAGAATTTGTGGGCGTTCCCAGAGAGTTTGTGGGCGTTCCCTCCGCTCACTCTGGGCGCCGGCTGCAGCTCGATGAACGCCAGTGTTTCCTGTTGACACACCGCCACGTGTTTGTGACGGCACGAGCGCAGCAGCGGCCTCTCCTCCGGAGCCTCACTCTGGGGTTGGTCTCCTGAACCAGGGATCCACATCCTGGGACTGTTTCTGCAGCCAAAGGCCTGGAGGTGAGGCTGGAAGTCAGGGAAGGGAGAGAGTCCATACCCCGGGAACATGACGCCAAAGGACCATGAGAACTGAGGAGCAAAAGAGGTAAAGATGAATATATATATAAATGTAAAGAGTAATATAATATACAGTAAATAGATTGGGAGGCTGATAAAAAAAACAACATAAATACAAAAAAATGGTAAAATCTTTATTTATTCACTAAAAATAACATAAATGATGCTTATTCAAAATTATCGCCCCATATCGAATCTGCCATTCATTGGAAAAATTCTTGAAAAAGTGGCCTCCCAACAACTTACTGAATTTTTAACAATGAATAATTCTTTTGATATGTTCCAGTCTGGGTTTAGACCCCACCACAGCACTGAGACCGCTCTAGTGAAGGTAACAAACGACATTCGACTTCACACTGATGCAGGTAAAGTCACAGTTTTGGTCATGTTAGATCTTAGTGCCGCGTTCGACACTGTCGACCATGAGATCCTCATGCAGAGACTGGAGGACTGGGTTGGTGTCACTGGCACAGCCCTAGACTGGTTTAGGTCTTACCTGGAGGATAGGAAGTACTTTGTGGAGATTGGAGACTGCGTCTCAGATCATGTGGCCCTGACCTGTGGAGTACCACAGGGGTCGATCCTGGGACCTCTCCTATTTAATCTCTACATGCTGCCGTTAGGTCAGTTAATACAAAGAAACAAAGTGTCCTACCACAATTACGCCGACGACACTCAGATCTATGTCTCACTGACTGCAGGAGAACATGGACCACTGGATT